TACATTATAAGGATCCCATTTGGTCCACGTGATAAGTACCTTCATAAAGAATTATTGTGGCCTTATATTCAGGAATTTGTAGATGGTTCTCTGGCTCACATTCTTAATATGTCAAAAGTTCTCGGTGAACAAATTGGTGGGGGGCAACCTGTATGGCCATATGTTATCCATGGTCATTATGCTGATGCAGGGGACAGTGCTGCTCTTCTCTCAGGAGCTTTAAACGTCCCCATGGTTTTAACAGGGCACTCTCTTGGGAGAAACAAGCTTGAGCAGCTTCTTAAACAAGGACGACAGTCAAAGGAAGACATCAATTCAACATACAAGATTATGAGAAGAATTGAAGCAGAAGAATTTTCCCTTGATGTTGCAGAACTAGTTATCACTAGTACGCAGCAAGAGATTGAAGAGCAGTGGGGGCTTTATGATGGGTTTGATGTCAAGCTCGAAAAAGTATTACGTGCCCGTGCTAGACATGGGGTAAACTGTCATGGTCGATACATGCCAAGAATGGTGGTAACAATATTTCTCCCTTTTTTCCTCTCTTTTCCCCTATTTCGAGATATTGTATTGATCACTGCTTCTTTCATATGGGTGTTACAGATGATGTGAAAAGAGAATTACCACAGAAGTATATTTTTCCTTGTTCTGAAACATATTGTTAACTCCGCATTGTCTCGATCAATGAGATGATACTGAACTATATGGTTTGCACCTCTTATTTTAGCTTTGAAGTACAATTTGTTTGCAGGTTATTCCCCCTGGCATGGACTTCAGCAATGTTGTAGTTCAAGAAGATGCCCCTGAGATTGATGGAGAAATTGTCTCGGTTATTGGAGGAGGTACTGATGGATCTTCTCCGAAGGCAATTCCAACAATATGGTCAGAAGTAAGTAGGTCAGCTATGTTATACACTCATTTAACAGATCTGTTATTGATTCTTCCTAACGTTGGCAGGTGATGAGGTTTCTTACAAATCCCCACAAGCCGATGATCTTGGCCTTATCTAGACCTGATCCAAAGAAGAACATAACCAATCTTTTGAAAGCCTTTGGAGAATGTCGTCCTTTACGAGAGTTTGCTAATCTTGTAAGTTAGTTTGTGCGACAATTTTGATTTACAGAGTGGAAGAAAGGCTACTAATACTATTTTTTTTGCAGACACTTATAATGGGGAACCGGGATGATATTGATGAAATGACTGGTCCAAGTGCTAGTGTGCTCATAACAGTGTTGAAACTTGTTGACAAGTATGACCTCTATGGACAGGTTGCCTATCCAAAGCATCATAAACAGGCTGATGTTCCCGATATTTATCGACTTGCAGCAAAAACAAAGGTTAACTAAAGTTCATTTTTGTTGGAACTAGTTCATGTGCTATTGTTTTTATATTAACTGTATGTAAATATCACAGGGAGTTTTCATAAATCCAGCTCTGGTTGAGCCTTTTGGACTTACGTTGATAGAGGTTGGTTTTTTATCGGTTGAAATTTGTTTTTGAATGCCATCTTATCAAGTTCAATGAGATATAATCTTTCTCTCTATTTATTTGATATAATTCAGGCAGCAGCCCATGGCCTGCCGATGGTGGCAACAAAAAATGGTGGTCCGGTTGACATCCAGCGGGTAATATTGATGAATATATCTTTCAATCATTAGATATTTCTGGTGGAATTTCCAGATCTTTCAGAACAAGGGACTAAAAAACTAACTTGAGAGGAGCTATTTGTTGAAAGATTCTGAACATCCACATTGTCGTCTGTACGGTTCTTCTACAAAATGTTACAATAGTTCAATTCTTGACATTACTTTTTTTCCCCTTTCTGATGGATTTTAGGCACTAAATAATGGCCTTCTGGTGGATCCCCATGATCAGAAAGCGATTTCTGATGCCCTGTTGAAGTTGGTATCGGAGAAAAACTTATGGCATGAGTGCAGAAAGAATGGTTGGAAGAATATACATCTGTACTCATGGCCTGAACACTGCCGTACATACTTGACGAAGGTGGCAGCTTGTCGAATGAGACATCCTCAGTGGCAAACAGATACACCGGAGGATGACGTCTCTGCAGAAGCATCATCTTTAAATGACTCACTTAAAGACGTGCAAGACATGTCCCTTAGGCTCTCAGTTGATGGAGATAAAGCTTCACTAACTGGATCTCTTGACCCTGTAGCTTCATCTTCTGGTGAACCTGAGCTGCAAGACCAAGTAAAACGAGTCCTAAGCAAGATAAATAAGCCGGAAACAAATTCGAAAGAAACTGAAGGAGTGAAGCTTGAAAATGTGGGAAGCAAGTATCCTATTTTGAGGTGGCGGCGTAGATTAGTTGTTTTAACACTTGACTGCTATGACAGCAAGGGGTTCCCTGACAAGAAGATGGTTCAAATTATACAAGACATATTTAAGGCCATTTGGCTGGACGCTCAAATTGCAAAACTGACTGGGTTTGCTATATCAACTGCTATGCCAGTCTCAGAAACAGTAGAGTTCTTGAAATCAGCAAAGATTCAAGTAAATGATTTTGATGCTCTGATCTGTGGCAGTGGCAGTGAAGTGTATTACCCTGGAACTTACACAGCAGAAGATGGAAAGCTTTTTGTCGATCCTGATTATGCGTCTCATGTCGCCTTTCATTGGGGCTATGAGGGTCTAAAGAAGACAATTTGCAAGTTGATGAACCCTGAGGGTGAACAAAATTCTCCTTGTGTCGAGGAAGATGTGAAATCGAGCAATGCCCACTGTGTTTCATACTTTGTAAAGGATCTGACTAAGGTATATATATATATATACACACACATTGGTGACATGAATTAATAGAATTTGTTGTTTGGATCTTATGGTGGCTGCTTTTACAGGCAAAGAAAGTCGATGATTTGAGGCAGAAGCTTAGGATGCGAGGTCTCCGTTGCCATCCGATGTATTGCAGGAACTCAACTAGAATACAAGTTGTCCCTCTCCTTGCATCTCGAGCACAGGCACTCAGGTAGAGTTCTATAAACTTATGAGACTGATTTTTTATATTAAGATGGATCTTGATTCTTAAGGTACATGTCTGATACTTGTATCCAACATGTGCATTCGGATATGATCCTCCCTCCAAAACATGGTAAAACTTAGAAAAAAGTGAACATACCGGTGTCCGACACATGCCCGTATCTCACACTCAACTCCAGGTGTTATAGGTTTAAATGCTTTAAAAATGAGACAATCAAAGGTGCATATGGGCATATGTAACATGTAAACTAAGTCCATATCAATCTCAAGACAACTAATATCATGTTCTATTTCATCTAATAAGAGGTTTTTTTTTGTAAGATCTTTCATTCATGATAAAGTTGATTAATACTCTAGAATTCCATTGTTGATTTTTTAAGTTGATTTCATGTGTAGTTATTCAATCACTGTTATTCTCTTTTTTCATGGTCCTCACTGTACCAGGACTTGATTATAATCAACTTTCGGATCATTACTTATTCATCGGATTAACCTGTTCGTTCTGATTATTAGGTACCTTTTCGTGCGTTGGAGGCTGAATGTCACAAACATGTTTGTCATCGTCGGCGAAACTGGAGACACCGATTACGAGGAATTGATAGCAGGGGCTCATAAGACTTTGATCATGAAGGAAGTGGTGACAAAGGGCTCCGAAGCGTTGCTCCGAACAATGGACTTTAAAAACGACATCGTCCCTTCGGACAGCCCCTTGATCAATAGTATTAAAGGTGGAGCAACGCCACAGGAGATATCTGAAGCTTTAAAAGCATTGTCTAAAGCAAGCCTGTGAAAGTTGTTGTTTAGAGCATGAGATGGTAGTTTAGTTTCCATATTTCAAATAAAATAATTACTGTTAATGGGAAATTTCCATGTCTTAAGGTATTATTCTATCATGTTTATGCCAAATGTAGATAGATAAGCTTCAAATGGTTTTTTCTTCATTCAGGTCTATAAATGTGCAAACTGGTTCTATCCTGTATTTCATGAAGATAAATTTTTAGCTACCATTGCTCAAGTTATTTGCATCTACATATGGTCGGTGGTGGGTTTCCTTTCTCCGGTGTCCATTCTGAAATTTAAACTGTTTTTAGTTAACTATTTTATTGGTGGCCTTCAATTTTATTTGTATTCACTAAAATTTTGTATTGTTTATTTAGTCAAAACGGCATTTAAAGCTTTGTGCTTTGAAAAAAACAATCAATCTGACCCAAATCATTTTTTTCAATTAATGTGACCTCAAACTCAAAAAAATATAGTTAGTGCTGCTCACTTGATATATTTTATTGGAGGTCTCAAATTTGAAATTATTATTAAAAAGTGAGTTTGAAAAGATAACATGTCTATTATTGACATTATGTTATAAATTAAAAATATAAAATTTAAATTATATTCATACTTATTAATACTATGATATAAATATATCATTTAAACTATAATAATAAAAATATATGAAATATTTTAAGATAACTCGTTAATTATAATAAAAATATATTTTATAATAACTCACTGTTAATATTTTAATATATAAACCATGAATTTTATTTAATTTTAAATAATTAAAATAAATTATTAATTATTATTTTTAAAGATTTTAATAATAAATTATTAAAATAAAATATAAATATATAATTGAGTGAAGCTTATACATTAATAAGGGTAAAATTATAATTTGCTCCCAAATACAAAATTAAAAATGAAAAAAATATTAGCTTTTACGATTGGTTTGAAACAACCGTATTTTTTCTTTATGTTTTACTCATTAACATTGATTTTGCAATAAAAACGAGTTTTTTTTAGCTAAAATTGAATTTAAAAAGTTACGTAAAACGGGGATTAAATCAAAATTCATAAACAATTTTAAGATTTTCTTTTTATGTTAAAGAAATTATGTGAATCAAAGAGAAAATTAACTCAAAAGTTCACAACGAAACATGTTTTAGACTGAGATTTTTTTTTGAACTTTTCAGCAACATTAACAGAAACAAGAACATAGAAAGGTGAAAATTGTGATGAGGAAGAGCAAGCTTTATTTGTTGAGGAAGCTGAATCCAGAACCGGTCAATTTGTCCTCCATGATGTTGTCAAGCCGATTACCCATCTCATCACTCAAATAATTCCTCCAATCTCCAACTTTCCCCTTCCTAAAATATGCACTGTTCTCCATATACCCATCCTTCTTCACCTGTTTACCACTCTTATTAACCTCTAAATTACTCAAACTCTCAAAGCTACACAACTCTATAATCTCCTCTATTTTCCCTCCTCTTTCTTCCTCCAAGCTGAAAGGGCACCCAAAGAACTCAGCCAATTTCTTCACACATGATTCGGTCTCCTCCTTCATGGCTTCGTATCTCAAGAACAATATCCTTTCAGGGTGTTCCAAGCTGGCTTTCCAGTACCCTAACACATGGTCCCAGTACGGTCCAAAAGAAGAAACGCCTCTGCAGAACAAATCAATGGCTTCCTCAATGGAAACAAAGGACACTTCTTTGCCTGTTTTGTTGGTTTCCACCATCCTTTTGAAGTAATGCCACATGGAAACAAATGTGTCCTTTGGGTCTCTACAAAGGTAGACTATTTTACAACGTGAATGTATTATTGATTTTGGCAGACATGTGTATGGAATGTGTGAGCCGTAGAGTGGGATTTTGGGACCTGTGGGCGAGTAGTACTCGCCAAATTCCAGCATCGGGATGCAGTCGTGTGGCAGTGCGTTTCGGATTGGAGTGTTGGAATCGTCGAAGTGGGTTCGGGTTATGATGCTGAAACTCAAGGCCTTAAGCCATGTGCAACCGGTTTTCATGAAGTTGCAGAGAAAGATGTCACCTGGTTGAGCTTGGAAGTGATCTTGAGCGTGCATGGCTCCTTTGAGAAAGAAGGAATGGAACCAAAAGTGTTGGTATGAGCGAAGAGTCATCATGGAACTCCAACCATTTTCTTTGGGGAGAGTTGATATCTTCACCTCATATTTGTGTAGGGATTCCGGTGTGTTTTTGGATGCAATGAGCTTTGAGTTGAACAAGGATTCCATATCTGGTTACCAGGGAAGAAAAAGAAAAGATTTTTTTCGATGGAAGAAGGATGAGCAAGAAATTATTCTACACTAAGAAGTTGTCTTCATTAATGGATGATTTGTCATATTGTCTTTTGTAGGAAGATGACGTTTTGTGTTATAATAGTCTCATCTTTAATCTATATTCAAGCAAACTCTTGATATTAATTTATATCTTAACTTTAAATTTATATGTAAATAAATTATTACCATAAACTGTCATCTTCCTACCAAAGACAATATCATCGCTGGATCCATGATCAACATGTCCGTTTCAGGCGGCGCAAACAAACTGAATTTAATGCATTTGGGCATTTAAAAATGGTCACATGGCACATCTAACTGTATGACAATATATAGAGAAGAACAATTGATTAGTTATGTTATCATCAAGGAAACAAGTCATTTTAATGACATATAGCAAGTTCATTAAACAAACATTTCATACATGTCCTTTCCAACATTATACGGGTAATTTTTTTACTTAATTGATATGATCAACTTGTATTCATATTATTTACAAGTTCAACTTGCATTTGATAACAACATATTGTAACTACATCACAAGTAGTTATTTTTTATATATATATGGTGAGTCTCCTAGCGGGAATTTTTCTATATACACAAAGACTCGAACTCAAGACATTATTTAAATAATATCAAACGACTTACCACTTGAACCAATCTCGTTGGTTCACAAGTAATCATTTTATATAGCAATCTAAACCTTTTTTGTTACCTTATAACCGAAACCATGTCTAAAGCATATCTAACGTACCGAATTATATTTCTAGGCACATGCTTTAGTAGTCATTGATGTTCGAAATCAAAGGATTCAAAAATACTATCTCTACTTAAAAATTGATGCCGCTTAGTCAAATTATATCTAATTCTTTTTAGCAGCTTGCTCTCTCTCTCTCTCTCTCTCTCTCTCTCTCTCTCTTTTTCCATCTTTGTTAATAAGCTACGGCACCAGCCATAAGATTTTATAGGAAATTTTAGTTTTCAATAAGTATGTTTTATGATAGGTATTTCTCTATTTTTATAGTATATTTTTATTGTATGTTGACAAATTTTCTATCTTTTCTATTGATTGTTTTATTGTTCTTTTCATTTAAAATTTTCAAGAATGGATATGATATTATAGTTGTCTCACGATGTTCAACTCTGATTTGCGATTTACGATGGTCTTTTAATAATTCCATCCCTTGTTATGGTTCGTTTGCCGATGCAGTCAGATCTGTTTATATCGATCTTTTGTTCAAGTTTTTTGGACGTGTTTTTAATATTTTCCTTGTATGTGTTTACGCTTATGATTGTATGTTTTCATTAGAATTTTGGATATTTTCTCATTTTTTTAATAAGACTAACGGCTTCTATTTGTATTAAAAAACACTATCTCTACTTTACCTAATTCATCGATCCGATAGTCTTGCAACTTCTTGTCTTTCGTGTTGAGAAGTTTGGTATTGTTTCTGCTCCCGAACATACACTAATCATTGATGATTCACTCTTTCTGATTTGGACGAAAAAGTACAATCGTTAATTTTAAAAGGAGTGATAAGATAAAGTCGATGGATGATCCGTGATTTAGAGAGTTCAAATCCCTTTTAGTCTTATATGAGAAGTTTATATAATGAATTTTAGTGTTGTCATATTTAGGATCATAATGGCTACTCGTAGATTAACAAAATAAATGAATTTAACTACCTAACTTTATATAGTTCTAACATATCACGCTAGTCTATAATAGTATAAAAATAATTATAATCACTCAAGGTTAGAGAATTCCTCCAAAGGGTTCATTCTTCTAAAGTTTTCATATACCAACATGTGATAATAAAAAAGATTTGGAAGATACATAACACTCATATTAAAATCATTATAAATACATATAATTAAAATTTAAGGTATAAAATATCGTTTAGTCAATTTTATCAAAATAAGTCTAAATCTATAACTTGATTCTATTAATCAAACCACCTGAGCACTCGGTCCAATGTGAGTAGGATCGTTGAGTCATGCTTCATAATTAGAAAAACAAGCACAGTGGAAATACATGTCGCTCAACCAAAGAAAAATGATATAGAGTTAATCAAAATGGGCACTAAATATTTTGCAAGAGATATCCTCCAAATCATTGGCATAGCTATCGAAATCGTGAGCATCTAATAACATTTTGTTGGTTGTTTACTGATGCAGATAAATTTGTTTGTATCTTTATTTTATTCGAGATTTTTAGTTAGGTTTTTAATTTTTCCTTATTTGATCCTTATGTGTTCTAAGTAGTTAGTTTTGTCTCAATAATAAAAAATGTCATAATTATATTTTAGGTTTATGATTATGCTTGTAAATATTCATTATAATTTTAGTTATTTTTCTATTTTTAATAAAATTATCAACTTTCAATAATAAAAAAACCCCGAAATCCCCAAAATCTTTAAGTTCTCCATTTTTTTCTACTTGTTTTCTTGGTAAACTATAAAATGGCCACTAATGTTTGAGTAAATTTTTATTTTCATTATTGACGTTTTAAGAGTCACAAATCGATTATTAACGTTATCGTTTGTTACAAATTGGTCACTTGTCGTTAACAACAATTAACAATCGTTACTGTAATAAAGAACTACAGATGTGGCATGTTAAATAGTTGACTTAGCATGTTTGACCGATTATTTGACTCTTGTTGTTGTTGTTGTTATTGTTGCTGCCGCTGCTGCCGAGGGTGGATCTTTGAAGAGAGGAATAAAAGGCAAAAAAAAAAAAACTATTGATCTTGGCGATCAACATCAAGTGCCTGAAGATCAAGCTGATCAAGGCCAAGCCATTAGAACGGAAGGAACCGGCTTTAAGGTAGGAAAGCTGGGATCATCTGTTCAAAATTTTCTATCTATTCCCTTCTGTCAGACACCTTGGTCAATGCATCCAATTTTACCAACTTTTTTAACTGAGCAAATAGCTATAAATCAAGGGCCTGATGCTTCTTTATACAACTATGTTCTACCTAGAGCTGCTGAGAAGAAAAGGTGCATGAATTCAGAAAGAACAAATCAAATGTTGGAATCAGGTTCTAGTCAAGGACCATTCCCAGTCGTGCCATCAGAAGAAACCATTCGAAGATCCTCCTCGTCAATGGGATCGCGAAATATGGATTGCATTAATCAAATACCTCAACAAGGTCTATATATAGGTTTAAACATTTCAAATCCAAGGCAATTCAATCCAGAATATCCAAGACAAAACAACCCACAAACTCTTCCACGAACTAGCAAACCTTGAAGATGAATGGAGGAGCTGCTAAGTTCTCTGGAGGAAGCTATAATTTATCAGAACATATCGCTGCAAACAATCACCATGGAATGTTGAAAAAGGATCATGTGATTCGTTCACAAATCACAATTGTCTTTCCTTGTTTTGATGTGCAACTTGAGAAAGGCCAATAATGCACTTTGGTTTTGAGTATTTGACGGTTGCTTTACTTTGTGTTATTAGCTTACTTTCTTCCAAACCCAGTAGATCCATCGTCTCATTCATGATTTTAAAAGTTTCAAACACAATACAAAAATCATACCAGACATTATTTGTTTCTCGAGGTCTCGTAAAAATTAGAATCATCTCACCTAAAATTTAGGAGGAGGAGGAGAGTCAAACAGTCAATCAAACATGGGCACTGCCATCCATACTCTTAACCATACCTTTTCATCTCTCTCCTGCTTTACCATCTGAAGTAGAACTCCTCTCCTCTACTCTCCTCCATGGGCACTGCCATCCATACTCTTAACCTTGTCTGTTGTTGAAGGAGTGATGCAATGCAACCTACAAAAGCTCTTCAAACCGCACCTCTGCCACTCAGATGCACTTTGTTTCCTTCCCAACACAGTCCAGCCTCATGCTTCATATTTATGCTTTCAATGCCTCCTGCTTCCTGCCCATCCCACTTTGTTCGTCATCTCTTTCTTTTCATTCATTTTCTGCGTTTTTTAATACTGGGTTTTCGCTTATTTTCTTTATGATCTCTCTTCTTTTTGTAGGTTATGGATATTGTATGTAATGTACCCTTCTTCTCAAAGGTATGCATGTTTTTTCCTCCACTTTTATTCTTTCAGCTTCACAGATTCTACTGATTTTTTTGTCTTCTTTATACTCTCCCTAGTGGTAATATGAGTTAAATGAATACTGATTTTACCGTCACTAGTGCTAATATGGTTATTTAATTTGGTTGTTATTTTAGTTCTGTTTCAATTACTTGTTAAAAAATTAAAATTAACAATGATATTACTATAAAGATAGACATAAATTTTATATAATTTTATATTATTTTATATTATGTGTACACTTATAAATCTTATGAGATGACAATAAATTATTAATATATAATATAAAAGAATTTAGAAATTTCAAGCAAAAGATTGCTCCTACATGCCCCATTTCGATTCACCCTTAAATACTTATAATTTTTTTAAATAATAATATAGTATTATTTTATAATGATACAATTATATATAATTTTTAAATGATAAAATAGATAATTTATCCAATAAATTATCATTTTTCGTATTTGAATGAACGATGCATGTGAATTTCTAGTCTAGTCAGCTTTTTCTCTATGGTGACTGCAATTTGAAAGATGCGTGACACGTGTCTTTATGCATGGCGTCTTTATCTCTGACCGCCCATTTTATGCATGTCTGATTACTTCTTTGAGTGCCTTGAGTTCCTCGATGTTTTTATGGGACCAGCTCTTTCTTTTTAGCCGTTCGATGACCCCCCCTGCCCAAAGAGACAAGGACATCTAACGGTCAAGATTCTGTCTTGTTGATATAAAATTAATCTTTTTTAGTTGTATTTTTAAAATTTTAGTAGTATTTTCTTTGGCCTTTTTTTACCTAAAAATCATACAACCATTTAATTGGCAAAACTCTTGAGATAATGTTGTGAAAAAAAATCTTGAGATAATACTGTTGAAGAATTAATTGTTGAGATAAGAAATTTGCTACAGTCGTATCTTTGGTCGCCAGGTGGTCCG